GAGCAGGGAGCCCGATGTGGGACTCGATCCCAGGACTCCAGGATCATGACCTGAGCCGAAGGCAGTCGCTTAACCAACTGAGCCACCCAGGCGCCCAGGAAACCAGTTTCTAATCTTTTCCTTATGAAACCAGTAGACTGTCCTTTCCTCACTTGTTTGTAGTATTTTCTCTGTCACATAGGAAGTTTTTTGTGTGCATGGTGCTCTTCCCGGGTGCTCTTTTTCATTCCATTGATCAATTTGCCCATTGTCTTAGTTTTAAATTCATTTTATGGATATGCCATTAACTACACCCCATGGTTAGAAATTTAGGTTATTTCCAAGTCTTTTGGTATTTGGTTAACATCCTTTGAGCCAAATCTTTGCGTACTTTCATTATTATTTTTCTAGAATCATTTCTTAGACGTGCTTTCCCAGGTTAAGGAGTATACCAAATTTTCAGGCTTCTGTTATCACTGAAGATTCCTGCAGAGAAATTTTAATTGGTGGTGTCTATGGGGGCGTATGTCTGTGGGGGTGCATGTGTCTGTGGGGGCGTGTACATGTCTGGGGTGTGTGTGTTGGGGCGTGGGGGGGGCATGTGTCTGGTGCACGCTTGTCTGTGGGGTGTGTCTGTGGGGGCTTGTGGGGGCACACGTGTCTGGGGGTGCATGTCTGGGGATGTGTGTGGGCGCACGTGTCCGTGGGGGTGCACGTGTTTGGGGGATATGTGTGTGGGGTGCACGTGTCTGTGGGGGCAGGCATGAGGGGGATGTGTGTGTGCAGGGGCACGCATGTCTGGGGGGTACATGTCTGGGGGTGTCTGTGGGGGCACGTGTGGGCATGCATGTCTGTGGAGGCGTGCGTCTGTGGGAGTGTTGAAGTGGGTATTTGGCTGAACTCAGTCCTGGGTGTTGGCCTCCCCTTTTGAACACATTGTGTTGCTCCTTGGTTGAACAAGGATCTTCAAGCAGAGTCACCACTGCAGTGCGTCTGGGGCCCAGTCTTGCAGATGCTGGTGCTACTCGGTCATTGGCAGCGTCCTGAGGGCCTGAGGACAGGGAGCAGAAGGAACTGCCCGGAATCTTGCCAGGGGAGGTGTCTGAGGCCATCTTTGTCCACCTGTGAGAGGGTGGAACCTGTCTTTTCTGTTCCCTGTGCCACCACCAATTTCCGCCTGGAAGGACTTGCCACGGCTGCATTGTCTCTGCGTCGCGGGGTGAATGCAAGTCCTTGATTGCTCTTGTAGGGTTAAAACAGTTTCCTCTTTGAAATGCTGGCACAGTAGAGTGGATATGTGGTTAGTCTTTCATGCCTTTATTTGGCAGAGTTGAAGCTTGTAGTCCTTTGTCCCCACATTTCTTCCTCTTTCTTCGCCTTCTTCTTCCCCCCTCCTCTCCCCTCTCTCGGTTTTGGTTTTAATCTCACTGGTTCACTGAAATCTAAAGGTCAGGACATTGCTGTTACAACTGTGTTCTCCCACTTGGTTTGGGAAGGACTCAGTCCTGTGAGCACACACACACACACACACACACCTGCCTTGATTATCTGTTAGTGTCAGGACCTCCTGTCTGGTGGAGAGGCGATGGGGAGCTTTAGTCCCATGGGTGTCTGCCCACCATGTCGTTACTCTAGCCCAGAAAGCTGGAGAGTAGTGCAAAGCATCTTGTCCTCGGGGCCAGATCCATCCTGCAAAGGAGAGAGTGTGCGTCTTGCATACACCTGCCTGTGTTTGTGTGCGGGGGTGTATGTGTGTACATGCGTCCATGCGCGTGTGTGTGTCCGTTTGTTTCCCGTCTCTCCCTCCCTTCACAGCAGTGCCCAGGCAGGTGGACTTGGTTCTCCTGGGTTCACTTGCCCCTAGTGCGCTGTGTCTGAGCCCTTGTCCCCTGTGGTTGTCTTGGCAGGTTCTCCCATGGGCAAGTGGTCTCTGTGGACGAGCTGCGCCCCTTCCAGGACCCAGACCTGAGCTCCCTCCAGGCCGGCTCTGCATGTCTGGCCAAGCAGCAGGACGGCCTCTGGTACCCGGCTCGGATAACCGGTGAGGCTGCCCACAGGCCTCTCAGACAGGGCTCTTACTGGAGAGCCCCGTTGCATGCCCAGGTGGAGCAAGGCCACCCTCAACCTCGGTCCCACCTTCCTTCCAACACTCAGTGTGGTTCCTACCACCTGTTGAGGCCATTGACCTGGCCTGCCTTTTTGTCCCCTGCCTCCAGATGTGGATAACGGCTACTACACAGTCAGGTTTGACTCACTGCTGCTGAAGGAGGCCGTGGTGGAGGGGGACGGCATCCTGCCCCCACTGCGCACGGACCCCGCAGGGTCCTCGGACTCCGACAGTGGCGACGCGGATGACCCAAGCTATGCCAGAGGTACGGCAGCAGGTCAGGGTCTCAGAAGCCAGGCAGGGGAAGCATTGGCAGCAGTCGACCTGCGAGGCTTCCGGCTGGCAGGGCCTGTGACCCTCGGACCCGTTGGACAGTGTGGCTGCAGGGAGGTGGGCTGTGCTCAGCAGAGGGGGCACTCATGCCTGAGCAGGTAGGGGAGATGACAGAGCGTGTGCAGGCTGGGGGGCAGGTTCTGAGACCCACAGAGGCAGAGACCTGGCCCTTGTCTTCAGGGAGCACATGTGAGGGTTACAACTCCACGCCCTGCATGCCGAAGCGGTGTGTGCCGAGGCAGGGCTGACACGCAAGTCGGCGTGTAAGACGGGGCCGGTGGGGCGTGGAGTGCAGGCAGGAGCAGCTCCTTCCAGTGGTCTCCCCATGGGCCGGGTGTCTGGTGGATAGAGGGGAGGCTGGGTCCGGACAGCCAGGGACAGGAGAGTTTCAGGTATAGCTGGAGGTGTCCAGCCCTCCCGAGGGGTCAGTTAGGATGTAGAGAGGACTGAGGGGAGGACTGAGCCATGAAGTGGGTGGTGACTTTCTACCAGGGGAGGAGGGGAGCTCACCACCTGAGAAGGTGGGTCAGGGGAGGGCTCCAGGGGGGAGGGCTACCATGTGCCCTCGGGGGTGGCGTTGAGGTGTGGGGAGGGATGCAGCAGACTCTGCCCCACTCTGCCAGTGCTCGGCCTTAGAGTCACGTGCCAACGACAGGTCTGAGCAATCGATGGAGAGCCTGAGGTGCCGGGCATCACAGCCCTGGGCCAGAGCTGAGCTCTTGGGCTAACATGGAGAGCCCAGGGTGCTCCATGTCCAGTGGGGCCGAGCCACTGCCCTGTTTCCTGCAGTGGTGGAACCCGGTACTACCGACCACGGGACCTGCAGCTCCGCTTTTGCTGGCTGGGAGGTGCACACACGGGGCATTGGCTCCAGACTCCTGGCCAAGATGGGCTACGAGTTTGGCAAGGGTGAGTGTGTGCTGCCCTGGGGAGGGGAGGGGCGGCTACAGCCCCGCTCAGGTCCAGCAGCAACAGCGCTAGTCCTGTGTGCCCCCAGGTTTGGGCCGACACGCAGAGGGCCGGGTGGAGCCCATCCATGCTGTGGTGCTTCCTCGAGGGAAGTCGCTGGACCAGTGCGCAGAGATCCTGCAGGAGAGGACCAAGGGCAGCACGCCTGGAACCCGGAGGCCCCCGAGATGCCGGGGGAGCAGGGGTGGGCGTCCTCCCCCTCGTAGTGTGTTTGACTTTCTGAACGAAAAGCTGCAGTGCCGGGCCCCTGGGGCCCTGGAGCCTAAGGGGGCCCCCCCGGGGAGGAGGAGCGGCAAGGAAATATACCATGCCAGCAAGAGTGCCAAGCGGGCCCTGAGCCTGCAGCTCTTCCAGACTGAGAAGAAGATCGAGCAAACCCAGCGGGACATCCAGGGCATCCAGAAGGCCCTCGCCCGAAACACCGGCCGGTACGTGTGGGGCTGAACCCAGGGCAGAGGGTGCACCCCAGGGTGGCAGTGCCTTCAGCCCCCAGTTCCCACGCGGGAGATTGCTCTGACCGAGGGTGGGGGCTGTCTGAGGAGGGTCTGATGCCTGGAGGAGGATGGGCAGTGGCCACGGCACTGTGGGGGCTTCATGCCGGTGGCCCGGCAGCCCATGCTGAACGGCAGGCTCCTGTCTAGGCACAGTGTGACGGCAGCCCAGCTGCAGGAGAGGCTGATGGGAGCCCAGCGGGAGCTGGGGCAGCTCCAGGCCCAGGAGGCAGGCCTGCAGCGCGAGCAGAGGAAAGCAGACACCCACAAGAAGATGACTGAGTTCTAGAGCCCCTGTGCACGCAGTGGACAGAGCTCAGGGCCCCCAGCTCCTGGCTGCCCTCTGGAAGACTAGCTGTCACCCAGCAACTAGATGCTACTGGAAGAGGGGCCCCTGCTCCCAGCCTAGCCCCCATGGCCAGCCTTCTCCCTGGCCCAGGGCATGTGGACACTGCTGAATGGAGATGGGGCTGCAGGGGTCACGTCTGGACACTTAACTTGCCCGTTGAGCCCACCTGCCAGTGTCTTAGGGGGTCTCCTTCGCAAAGACATTAAAGTGATCGTGTTGTGTCTTTCAGTGAAGGCTCAGCTGGCTTGTGGGGTCTTTGGGGGCAGAGGGGTCTCTGCACAGGGCCATGGGGCCAGGCTGGAGGGGCCCTGAGTGGGCGCTGCCCCCTGCCCAGAGGCGGAGGGCCCAAAGGCTGGCATTCTCCTTGCTCTCTTGGGTGGGGCTCTGCCAGCAGCCCCTCCCCCACGTTGCCTGACCCCCACAAGTGTGTGGGACTTGATGTTACAGCAGGGGGAGGAGGTCGTGGCCAGATGCGTCCTCAGGAAGCACCATGAATGAGGCAGGAGGACCTGGTGGGGTGGGTTTGGAAGTCTGCGAGCCTGGGTTCAGCCCCAGGATTCAGCGGCCACGAGACCGCCCAGTTCCCGTGCTGTGCCTGTCTCCTCACCGGTGTGTGCCCACCTCACGGGGGGAGGAGACCACGAGTTAGGCTCTGGGAGCAGCGCTGGCGTGCTGCACACACCCGCCAAGTGATGTCTAGACCCCACACGGGGGCTGCGGCAGGAGCGATGGCTGCAGAGCGTTGAGTGGCTGCTTGGGGAGATGCAGGGAGATGCACAGGCAGGAAGTGAGGTGGGGAGCGTGGCTGAGGGCTGTACAGAGGCACTTCGCAGGGTGCCCAAGCCGCCGGGCCTGCTCCACACGGGGCTGAGGAGGGGCCACCACGCGCGGGCCTTGGTAAGTGCCTGTTCTGGCTTCCACCCTGGTCAGGTCCCCAGGCCCCTTGGTGCCCTCCTGGGAGCAGCTGAGGGTTGGGGTCTGGGAGGACCAGGTTAGCCATCCCAGACCCTCTTACGAGCTAAGCCCACTCCCCCTGGGTCTGGGCAGACTGGCCCCCCGTCTCTAGAGACACCCCACCCCAGCAGCTCTGCTAAGATCCCAGGAAGAAGACCATGATCCGATGGCAGGGACAGTTGGAGGGGAGGGGTGGAGAGCCAGGGAGAAGTGGAGTGGGGGCAGTCATGGGACAAAGCAACCTCTCCCTGCCTGCTGACCCCTCCCCTGCCTATCCAGCCCCTCAGGGGACAAAGCTCAGCAGTGGATGGCTAGGGGGGCACCATCTGAGACAGTGGCCTGTGCCTTAGAGGGCCTAGGGTGTGACCTCAGGACCTCCCTAGGTCCCAAGTTCAGGCTACGGTGACCACAGCAGGCCCTTGGCCTGCTCACAACTCCCCTGCCCCTCCTCACCGGCCATGCTCAGCTACCGTTTGGGTCATCTTCGCCCACTCAGGTACTCACGGGGCCAAGCAAAGCACACCTCCTTCCGTGTCACGAGGAGCCCCCCTTCAGAGGTGAGAAGGTAGCTGCTAGGGCCTGGACTCCATGCTTCTGTAGGAAGGAGGGGCTGTGGAGCCTGGGGTTTCCTGTGTGCTGAGTCAGAGCGCCCCAGGGGGAGGAGACTGCCCAGCAGCTTGAGGTGCAGCAGGGGGGCTGCCAGGTAGGTGCCCAGCCTCTCCGCCTCCAGCACCCTGTCTTCTTGCCCCCAGGCCTACCTGCGGCTTCGCAGGATGGGGCCACAGGTGCCCTCAGCCCCTCCTGCCCTCTGGGTCCTCGGGTGCCTTGCCCTGTCCCTCTGGCTGTGGACACTGTGCACGGCCTGCCACAGGTATGTCATCCCTGACCTGGGTTTGGTGTGGGGCATGGCTCCAAGCAGGTTTGGCTCTGTGCGTGAGCCTCCCTGCTGGGCCTTGCACCAGAGCCTGGCACCTCAGCCCCCCATCTCTGCCTCCCTGGCCTGATGAGACTCTTGCCCCCAGGAAGCGGGTGCAGAGGCAGCGGGCCAGGCCCCAGGGCGGTGTGATGCCAGCGGAAGCGGTGAGTGCCAGGCTGTCCCGGGGGCCAGGGCGGGGCCAGCACAGGACCCACCAGCCTTCCTTGCCCCCAGTCACTGCTGAGACGACACCACTTCTGCACCCTCAGCAAGTCGGACACAAGACTGCACGAGCTGCATCCGGGCCCTGCTGGCTGCAGAGGTGAGCCCAGCCGGGAGGGGCGGGACCGGGGCATGGGCGGGGCTTGCACCCTGGAGCAGCTCCGCGGCTCCCCCCGCATCGGTTCCCTGCCCCCCTGCCCCAGTAACCTCTGTCTTGACCCCTAGCTCCGCGGCCTGCCAGCATGGATATCCTGCGCCCACAATGGCTGGAGGTGCCCAGAGGCACCAGCAGGCCTATGGCAGCCTTCTCACACCGGGAACTGCCCCAGGCAATGCCTGCTGCCACCTCACCCTCCATCTGCCCCGAGGCCACCTATTCCAATGTGGGGCTGGCTGCAATCCCCAGGGCCAGCCTGGCAGCCAGCCCTGTGGTGTGGGCAGGGGCACGGCTAACCAGCAGCTGTGCCAGGCCTGGGCCTGAGGCCAGACCTGAGGTGGCGGAGTATGCTTGTATCCAGAAGCTCAAGGAAACAGATCAGGGCCCCCAAAGCCTGGGGCAGGGGAAGGCCAAGCTGACCCCAGCTGTTCAGGTAAATTGGAGCGGAGGGGGTAGGGTGGGTAGGGCTGTACAGGTCCTCGAAGGAGTCTATGGTGCTGACCCCTCCTTGGGTTGGCTTCCTCTCTCCCAGGTGGACATCCTGTACTCCAGAGTCAGGAAGCCTAAAAAGAGGGACCCAGGACCTGCCACAGACCAGCTGGACCCGAAGGGCAGGGGAGTAATTCCGCCTCTGGGAAGTGACCAGTCCTACGAGACCCTCCCACTCAGGGGCCTGGGCAAGGATGATGGCCTCCTGGAAAATGTGTATGAGAGTATCCAGGAGATGCCCGCCCCCTCCGCCCCAGCACCTGGAGCCCTCCTGCTCTAGCTGTTAGCATGAGTGCTCCTTTGCAGGCTTCCCCAGCCTCAACCTAGGGAGGGGTCTCCAACTCCCCATCTGCCTGGAACGACCAAGTATAGAGTTCCTCCTTCCAGAGTACTGCCCAACGCCCATTCCCTATCCCCGCCCCCCGAAGTTGGCAGCACAAAGTCCAGATCCCAAGGCTTCCAGCCTGTGAGGTCCCTGGGGGTCCTGGCTGCCGTGGCCTCTTAGCCTCTCCCAAGGTCTTAATAAATCCCCAGCGCAGGGAGGATGAATACAGCCGTGCCTCACAGCCTACTTTTCTTGAAGGCCTGGGAAGGTTGGCAGGGATTGTCTGAAGGGCACTCCTGCCTGGGGTGTCTGGGCCCTGCCGCCTGAAGCTGTGCGCAGCTGGTCAGTTTCAGAAGACAGTGTGGGGAAGGGAAGCTAGCTCTAGGGGTGGTGGTCCCCAGGCCAAGTCGGTCTTAGCACGTGTTGCAGCCGGCCCGCGAGCTGACCGCCCCAGGGTGGGACTTGGACCCTGAACACTAAGGGAGGGCTCCGCCGCCCAGCCCCTGGTGTTACATAAGGTACGGGGTAGGTGGGCAGTCGTGCGTTAAAGAATAACCTGCTCCCGGGAAGCCCGCCAAGGAGACGCGACCCCTTCCCCGGATCTGGCAGCTCTGCGCGCAGGCACACCCGCGAGTAAGCCGGCCCTCCCCGGCGGCGGGGGCGCACGGGCACCCCGGGCTCCGCAGGGGCGAGGGACCGACAGGAACCGGCGGTGCCGCGAGCGGGGCCCTTTCCCCAGGCCGCGCGGCTGCGGCCGGCT